CTGCAGCCTGGATATGGCTGTGTCCAGCAGCAGCCATGTCCTGGGGCGACACCAGGGCTACCCATGAGCTGGCCTGAGTGGAGACAGCCAGGCCCTGGAGCTGTCAGACTGTGGCCATGGTGGCATTGCGCCGCTGCAGACTGATTCCCAGTGCTGGCTTGCAGGGGCTCCTTGATGGCCCTGCATCTCCAGCACCCATCAGCAGTGCGGAGGTGCAAGGTCCCGGAGCCTGAACCCTTTCGCTTGCTTTGCAGGGGGAAGGACGGGTGGTGTACATCGGAAACCTCTCCAGCACCATGAGCTCCAGCGAACTGAAGAAACGCTTTGAAGTGTTTGGTGAAATCGTGGAGTGTCAGGTCCTGTCCAGGACTAACAGGTGGGTGGTGAGCAAGCCATGGCCTGGGGCTCCAGCAGCTCTGGGCGACCCCTCATGCCTGTGCCCATCATGTCTTCAATTCTTTCTCTGGTTGCTCAGGGGGGATAAATATGGCTTCATCACCTACCGGTATTCAGAGCATGCCGCCTTATCTCTGAAGAACGGCACCTTGCTAAGGAAGAGGAATGAGCCTTCATTCCAGCTCAGCTCTGGTGGCCTTGGGCACTTCTTCTGGACCAGATACGCTGACTTGGGTAAGAAAGCAGGAGCTGCTTATCAGCACAGAGCCATAACGGCGCATTGCACTCCTGAACCTTTGTCACACAAGGATCCTAAACCTCTTTAGACCCCACAGGGAAAGCCCACCGGCTCTCCTATGGCTTACTTAGCTGCTCTTAGCTCAGTCAGATGGCTTGGGAAACTGGGGGGAGAGAAGAAAAGCAACTGTCGTGAGGACCCAGAGTGTGTTGGCTGCAAAACGTAGCATCGCACTCCAGGGCTGCTGGGTCTCAGCTGACCGCAGCCCATCCTGTCTCTGCTGTGTTTCTGCACAGCGCTGGACTTTCCAGCAGAGAAGTCCCTTCCCAGTCATTAGAGAAAGCAGTCAGCTACATCTCATTAGCCCAAGAAGTGATCTGGGTGGTTTGCTGCTCCGCAGGACAGATTCACCGCACTGCACATGCACTTCTGAGCCAAAATGATGGCACTGAAGTATGCTGCTGTCACATTAACTCTTCCTGTGCTGTATCGGCTTCTGCAAGACCTCCAGCCTCCTTCAGCAGCTGTGTTGGCTGGGGTCTCGCTGGACCCCCTCCCTCTGTGCGTGGTAGTACTGCAGCTGTAGCTGAGGGGCAGGAGCAACCCTCTGTGCTGGTCCTGCAGGAGAGATGTGATCCAGCTCAGCCCTCCTTGCTGTGATCTGCAGGTGTTTCATGAACACCACACATTTATTTCTGTACCCTCTGCAGGGGGTGAAGCGGTTCTAGTGAGTCTCTTATTGCATGAGAGACTGAGGGCCAGAAAATAAAGCCCTAAATCTTGACTTACCTCTAGATGCCCAGTCAGACACAAGCACTGCCCGATATTTTAGCACTTTACAATATCTCATTTGCTGAGAGCAGCAGTCCCTCTGACTTTGGTTGTGGGCACAAATGCCTGTTGTACATCTAAGTAAATCCCAGGGGCTCTCATTTTGGGCACGGAGAAGATAAGAAACAGATAGCAACCCCTGATGAAGGTGTTGGCAAATGGCTGCGCAGTGCTGGGGGGGGGGGGGCAGCACGGGAGAACCCTCCCAGTGCTCCTCACCTGCAGAGTTTTGCAAGGCCAGCAGTCACCCTTCACTGCACAGCCTGGTTTGTTCCTAAAATCCTGCTCGCCTTGGTACAGGATGAAATGAGGAGCCCACCAGCACAGGTGAAATGCAATCATGCCGTTCATGGCTCATTCACAAATACGCACCCAAAAGAGTTAAGCTGCAGTTAAATTAAGCAGCCTCATTGCCCAGGCTTTGCCCGTAGCACTGTTTGGTCAGGTTCTGAGGGAGGGCTGGGCAGCGCTGCAGACAGGCAGCCCCCTCCCCATGACCAGCATGGCTCCCGCGGGGATCGCCCTTTGTCAGCAGCTTGGAATCAGCTGGATTCGGCAGATTTTTGGGCAGCTGGGAATGGGCATCTCTGGTGTGTGACCTGCTGGACTGGGCACTGCTACAGCCCCTCTGCCCAACAGCTCCTTCTAAATGGGGGAGAAACAGCACCATCCCCATTCCCTTTCGCCCTTGCTGCCTTGCCCGGGCTGGCTCTTGGGATGGACAGGGGCTGCAGCATGCTGGTAGTTGGGGAGCAAGCAGTGCCCCTCCGTGCCTCAGTTTCCCTCCCTGCTGGGCAGCAAGCACACTTGTGCCCCACTCCCTAACCCTGCTGCCTTATGTCCTTGCCATTCCCAGATTGCAGCGTGGAGGAGTCCTCCCCAGCTCCAGTGAAAAGCAAGTACGAGACCATGGATTTTGACAGCTTGCTGCAGGAGGCCCAGCTAAGCCTGCATCGGTAACAGCCTTAACCTTGGAGGAATACCTCAATACCTCAGTCAAGGCACTTCCAATATGTTTACGTTTTCAAAGAAATTGTTCAGTCTATGGAAAGCGAGAGAGAGCGAGAGAGAGCGAGAGCACGCACGCGCGAGAGAGAGACTGCTGTCCCTTCGATCGATGTTTACATTGAACAAAGCTGCTTCTGTCTGTGAGTCCCCATGGTGTTGATGTCTCACTGCCACACGTTAGTCCCCCTGCTTCTGACTGGTTGTTTTAGGGTGAGCCTAGGAGCCCCCCTGGCCCTCTCTTCCCCCTCCCACCCTCCCCGTGCTCCCACCGCGGAGTTGCAGCTGTGTTCACCATAACATTTTTTTGTCTGTAGTGTGTGATGATGAAATTGTTAATTGTGAATAGAATCAGGATTATAAACTAATTTTTAATAGAAGAAGAGAAAAAAAAAGTATATACTTAAAAAAATGTATTTATGGCTCAGATGTACTGTAATTCAGATTTATTGTACCGCTTCCTTGATTTTTAACTATGCACTGTAATGAGGCACTTGCCACTCAGCAAATGGGGGGTCAGAGCAGAGTCATGGAGCCAGCGTTTGCCCATCAGCCGTGGAGGCACCGGCAAACCAGAGTGCTCAGCAGTTGCGTCGGGGTTGCCCACTTTGCTGTCAAAGCCATTCTTCTTGCTTACGTGGCCCGAACCCCCCAGCCCCCCAGCCCGGCTGGGTTGCAGCCCCCGGATGCTGAGCTTGGTCCTGGTGTGCGATGGAGCCGGCAGGCGGTGGGACATGCCAGCCCCACGCCGTTCTCACCGTGGGGCCAGGCAGCTTTGCAGGTGTGAAGGAGAGGGGTGGTAGAAGGATGCGCTACCTGGGGGCTGCGGGACCGCTGCCTGCCAGCCATCGCTGCTCCACCCCTCTGCCGCCCTGGGAGCTGAGAGACAGGGGCCCAGGGCACAGAGCTGGCCAGGCTTGATCTGGGGTGTCCTGCTGGTGCAGCCTCGGGGACAGGTGTCTCTGGGTCCTTGCGAGGGAGCTGGCTGTTCTCTGGCTCCTTGGGCAGCTGGGAGACCAGCTGGGCTGAGTGGCTCACTCCCTGCTTGCTTCCACCCCCTGCAAAGCAAGTGGGGTGAGAAGACCCATCTGTGGTCCCTGCCCGGCCACGAGCCCAAAATCCAGAGAGGAGGGAGGTGGGGGGACGTGGCACCGCACCCAACATCTGCCCCACCCAACGCCCTGCTCATGCTCTGCCAGGTACCTGATAAGCCATACACTTCCCTAGCACCCAGTTGGCACCCAGGATCCATCCTCCATGCCCGCTGGCTCCCCGTGGTGCACTTGCCCGCTCTGCCTCTGCTCGGGGAGTCTTGGGGCTGCCTGGCAGCGCTGGATTTAAGGCATGCTCAAGCAGCACCCTTCCCTGAAATTTGCTTGCAAACTTGCCCTCCATCTCTGGGCAAGGTGGAAAGGGGAGAGACCCCACCAGTGGTTGGAGCAAACTCCACCGTGAGCTGGCCAGAGGCACCATTTTTCCCAAGAGAGCAGGAGTCTCGCTGCTCCTCAAGCCATCGCCATTGTCTCCATTTATTTTTCAGACCCAGAGACCACTAGGGATTCAGCCATCCTCTGTAGATAGAATATTATAGCCTTAACTCTGCCAATAGATAGATTAGAGTCTCCTGGGGTCTCCCCTCGACATGACTTAGGGGTTTTATTCTCATTTCCCTGGCGTGGGTACTATTTCGTCTTGCAGGGAGTATGACCAAAGCCTCCGAAGTTGCACGCGATGCAATGCTAAGAGCCTGAGCGCTGCCGAGGTGGCCCTCAGTTCTGGAGCCATACGTGCAACTGGTCTCCAGTGGGAGCAGTAATGCCGGCAGTGCCGATACCAGCACAGTTCCCTGGCTATTTCTCCCCGCTTTTGGGGAAGCCGTGGTTCTGATAACAAATAGCCCGGCGGTAAGAGGACCCACGGGCCACTGCGAGGTTTGAACTATGGGTCCCCAACCTGCCGCCGGTGACGATCACTGCCGGGGAACAGTCCTGGTGCCATTTCCGTATCAGCAGCAAGGTTCAGCGTCTCTCCGGTCACGAGCTCCCCACACTCCTCATCCCACCTTAGCAAACACGAGGAGCTCTGGCCGAGACTGAGCATCTGCGATTGGCAATTGCCTCATTGTAGCTTTGCCTTTTTTCTGTCCTAGTATTTCCTCACAACGATGATGTTTACATGTGATTGCTATAGAGCTTACGTAGAATGTATATAGCGACACATTTAGGGTGGGTAGTAGTGTCCTGTGCTGTGCTGATGTTTTTCAGAAAACGATCAATCCCAAAAAAAAAAAAACAAACAGAAAAAAGAAGCAAAGTAAGTGGAATTCTTCCATCTCCCACTCAGCCGGGGGCACAGAGCCCCCATGGCCGGGCCCCGCTGGGGATGCATCAAGCGTGGCAGAGGGGAAGAGTTAGTGCAGAGCTGGGGGGCTCCAGAGCCGAGGGGAGCCCTCTCCTGCAGGAGCACTCAGTCGCTTCCCAAGCCTTGGTTTTGGTGTATCTAGATACAAAATTTCACATTATTTTCCTGTGGCTGGGTGTCCTGGATCAGCCTGCAGACTCTGCCCATGCTCAGCTTCTGGACATCGAGACCAGTGCTTGGGAAGGAGAGGTCTTGTCCAGCACAGAGCCCATCAGCACTGCACCCCAGAGTAGGAAGAGATGCAGCAAGTGGTCTTCGTGGTGCCTGAAGCCTATAAGTGGGGTTGGGTTGGGGTTTTTTTTGGTTTGGGTTTGTTTTTGTTTTTTTTTTTCATTAAATTGGGATGGTTTGTTTTCCCTCCCACAAAAAGTTTCCCCAAGACTTATACACTGTATGCAGAGGCCCCCAGCTTTTGGGACTGGGTGAGAGCAGAGGGTGTTCATCTCAAGGAGCACAGGCCTGCTGGGTTTAGAAACCCTCATGCAGGGTTTGCAGTGAAAAATTATTTTTTATTTAAATATAAAAGTGTCTTTAGCTCGCAGTGCTCGACTCTGCAAAGGGGCAGCTTCCTGGGGGCTTGGGCGCAAGGGGCAGGTGAAAGCTCCCTCCCTTAGCACCTGTGACTGTTTTGGATGCTCATGGGGAAATGGGGCAGGAGCAAAGCGACACCTGGACACTGTGTGGGGAGTAGCAGCCCATGCCCATGGGAAAGCCAGAGGCATCCAGCACTTCGCATGTAAACCCCCCCCCACCTCAAGGATTAGCTTTACATCACGGTGGGTGCCCCAGTGTGGGTGCAGCTCGGAGCTGGGCACCTCAAAAAGGGAACTCTTGCACCCCAGGCCCGTGGCAGTCCCAGGAATCTGTCCATCAGGAAGATGTCCCCTAGGAAGATGTCCCCTGCCATCTGCGAGGGCCAGGGCTGTGGGCGGGTAGGAGCGCTGCTTCAAAGAGAAACTGAGAGCAAAAGGGTTGTGGTAGGCAATAAGTATGGAGGAGATTTATTTTTTTAAAAATATCTATCTATAGAATGTCCCCCGCTATTTTCTGCAGGTGCTGTGGGGAATTGCTGAATGTGAAAAGTTTCATGATAAAATGCCCCTTTGCTTTTTTTGCACAGATTTGCCCCAGAAAATCTCATTTAGGTTGGGGTACTGGGCTTCTGGCTGGAATCCAGCAGGTCCCTGAGACTCCATGGACAGGAGCAAATGTTTCTGAGTGTCTGGGCTGAATGCAGAGGACAATCCTGGGTTTTAGGTTCAATGCTGCCCCAAAGAAAAGGTTTATCCCAATTCCTACTCAGCGCAGCTGGCTGGGCTGCACAGCACCTTTAACGAAGTGGCAGCTCAGTCACCACGTTACAGTCTTGAGTGTCTCATTTCAGCACTGGTCCATGCAAAGGAGCATAGCAATTGCAGACCAGCACATTTTTTTCCTCCCCCCCCTCCTTTTCTCTCTTTTTTCTTTTTTCTTTCTTTTTTCTTTCTTTTTTGGAGGTATGCTGAATACTGAGATACTTCCTTGTTCCTACCTGAGCCCTGACACCCTTTCTGTTCTAAGCATAGCAGTCTGTCCCTGACAATCTCAAGCAATATGGAGCCAAATGCAGCCTTTGGGTTTCATTCCTTGTCCCTTGCCCACCCTGGGGGCCAGGGGCAGCAGTGGCAGCCTGGCTGCAGTGCCCACGGCCATGACCAGGGCGCCGAGCCAAAATACAGAGATGGGGAGGGAGTGTGTGCATGCATGTGAGACAGAGAGAGAAAGATTAAATTGATGCATTTCTTGAGAAAGGTGTAAGAATTTCACCTAAAAAGGGGCACATCTGCTTTGTTATTTATGAAAAAAAGCTAAATTCTGTCTTTTTCTTCTTTTTTTTTAAAGTAAAAGGACACTGCTAATAATTCTTAGGGGCCAATTCTGCCTCCCTCATGCTGAGTGAGTCCTACTTAACTCTGCAATTTTCTACTTGCAGAGTAAGTAAAAGTAGCAGAATTGATCCCTCTGTGATTAAGAATCAAGTTTTTAGTCTGTTTTTTTTTTAATTGGTAGCGGTTTTTTATATTTCAATTAATTTTCCCCCCAGTTCCGTTCCGTTGTGTCCTTATTTATGTAATATACTTTAACCTTAAAAGATGGCATGGATTCTTATGCCTTTCCTTTATTATTATTATTATTTTTAAAAAAGAGATTTATTTCTAGTGTGATTTAACTGTCTACCTTCTAAAACGAGAGAACGTTTTCTTGTATTTTTACATTGTCAGATTCTATAGTTTCATAGATAATTTAACCAAATCGCTCAATGTATTATCTATATCTATCCGGTGGGTATAAAAGTTCTATTTTAAATTGTGTAAATACTTCAGAACTGGCTTCTTTTTCCAGACTCCCCTGCTACGGAGTTACTTGTTTACATCAAAAAGACTGTAGAATCTCTACGCTCATGTACTGTAAATAGTGAAGTGATCTGCCTATAAATAAACGATAACATATATACTATAAAGTGGAAAGAAAAAAAAAAGTATCAAGCCTGTGCTGCTAATACTTGAGTTTCTTAGCGCAAAGCTGCTCCGGGAAGAGGTGTTTTGCTTTGCAGAAGGTCCTTTCCTGCATCTGCCTGGCCAGCAGTGGAATGGTGGGGGCATGGCTGGGGACAGGGGAGTGGCAGAGCCCCCCAGCTTGCTCAGATCAATGCTGCACCACTGCTGGGGATGTGGCTCCCGTGGGGGAATATCTCTGGATATTGCTATTTTCAGTGCGGCTTCTTCCAGTTTAACTCATGTAGGAAGAGGCTGGGCTCTGTACTCTGGACTTTAGGACCCGTGCCACTGCTGCAAGACCCATCGCAGAAGAAACCCCCAGGACCGGGGAGGGTTAAAAAAGAAGTGAGGTACACACCTCCAATGTTTCTTGCTGGATTGCAAGAAAAGTGTGGAAAACACTCCAGATGGTGATGCAGCAACTGTATGGCTCAGCACAGCACCTGGATAGTCCTCCTGGCAGCAAGAGAACAGTCCCCCAGCAGCCAGCCTGCTCTCCTAGACAGGGCCGTGGTGGCTGAGTCCGTTTCCCAGAACAAGGTGTCCTGGTCATCGCAGGATCCCAGGCTGTGGAAGGGACAGGATGAAGAGCCGGGGAAGCTGGTTGCAGTGGAGGGGGCAGTTCCACCACAGCACCCAGCGTGCGGGAGCCCAGCACCAGCCATTGCCCCTACGAGGGCTCGCCAGGTTGGAGGTGTTGCACTGGATATCTCTGGAGTACAGTGTGGTGATGCTGCCTGGTGAGACAACCTCAGAAGCCCGAAAGGAGGGTGTCTGTAAGGTGCTGAGCTGTCCTGGCTATTCTTTTCCTGCCAGTTAGGCAGCTGCCCTAGACCTGCCTGTCTCCGGTGCTGCGCAGCTGGTGGGAGTCCGGCATGAGTCCCCCCACCCAGCCACAGAGCCAGAACCAGCCTCCCACCCCAAACCCAACCCCTTGCCCCTGCAACTGCTGCACCCTGAGTAGAAAACTGATGGGAAGCTCATTTCCCTGCTGCTTTCCAAAAAAACCAGGCTTTGGGGACATCAAGCAGG